GATCCTCCTGCCTAGGCCTCCCAGAGTGCTAGGATTACAGGCGTGAGCCACCGCGCCCAGCCAGTCCAAATATTTCTTTGTGCATGATTTATATATGTGTGCATTTACTCCCCCTCCCCTACTCCCTGCATTGTGAACTTCTGATTTGTTGGGACTTTAAAGGGTTTTATTTATCTTCCTTTCTCAAAGCCGTAGGCACTGAGTTTTCCACGTACTAAGTGCTCAATTAAAGTCTGTTAAAGTGAAGTAAACTTTACCACTTCCACAACCTTCTTTTTCGCACCAGTATTAGTGTTTTAAAATGTACTGTCACATAGGATTCCTTATGGCTAGAACCACATCGTGAGATGGAGGCCCAGGGCCCCCTGTCACCATTACCTAAACTGAAAGGGCAAGCCAATACACAGATTTCCATACAGTGTGATTTCAGGGGCTTCAAACTGGCTCTGATTTGTTAGCGTTTATGTTGCATAAGCTGTTGATACAGTACTGCTCTTAGATTCGGGCAAGAAGAAGGACCTCTGTCCTGAGATCCATGCTTTAGAGGCCCCCCTTTGGCCCTCTTCCAGCCACACTTCTCCCTACAGGACCGGGAACCTGTGGGAAAAGGGGTACCTCCCTGCTAGGCCATGTTCCAGGTACCTGGGACCCCTGAACGGTCCCAAGCCTGCTGCCAGGGCCTGCATGCTCCTCTTGGGGCTGTCCTCAAGAGGGCTGTCCTTGGGAGGGCTGACTGTCCTACCAGGATATGTGATCCCAGGCCTACGGGGTAGTCGTATGGCCAGGACAGGGCATGAGGCCTGGTCTAGAAGCCAGGCCAGGGCCAGGGGGAGGGAAGGAGAGGGTCAGCTCTTTTCACACCATTCGGACAGGACTTAGAGAAGTCGGAGAATTCTAAATTCTAACCTTGTCTTTCAGGTCGTTTTGAAGGTGCACTTGTCATGGAAGGGCATATACCAGCAAATAAAACATGTCGTATTAGTTGATTTAAATATGTCAAATATTTGGACATAAATATCCCCAACTGAACTCTTATTCTGAACCCTACAAATGTTACAAATGTTACAGGAAGGCCAGGCTACATATCTGGTCTATAACCCCTTTCTCTTCCTCTCTCTGTGTCACATTTTGTCACCTGAGCACAGGGGAGCCACTTGTTTCTGGAAAGGGCTTGTTCCGGTAGCCCATCTTGCTATAGGACTTGGACCCAGTCCCTGAGCCAGGCTGGAGTACAATCACCAACCACCTTGTCGCTTCTATTCAGCCCCAGGTGCACCCCCTCCACCCAGGTTTCTTCCTCCCCAGGTGTTCATACACAAACCTTTCGATGCCACTTCTGGCACCAGCGCACACCTGGGGGCCATCAGCTCGGCCAGGTGTACCTGTGCGGAGGCCCTTCCTGTGCAGCACGACCACTTAAGAATGTTTTGCTTCTTGGACGACCTTCAGGTCTGAGTTGTCACTATCCTGTTTGATATCCCTGCCCATGTCGCAGACTGAGACAGACTACAGAACAGGCTTTATTCAATCTATTTGCTTTGCATATATCGAAAACCAAGAAGGTGAAAAGAAGCAAAAAACTTGTCAGAATGTGTCTCCAGGCATTTAAAAAGAACGTAACCTCTTCATTTAAAAAAATCTTTATTGTTAATTGTGGAAAAGAAATTATTAACGGAGAGTTCTCAGAGTGAGGATAACGTAATAGAGGTCCACTGTGAGAAAAGGGGGAAGGGAGGTGTAGCAGCTAATCTACCAGGATCACCGGGGTATAGGGCATCTACCGAAACAAACCGTTCACTACGGGAATACAAAGGAAATAAAATTCAGTCGACTGAAAATCTAGCTTTTCTTATCAAAAAGACTAAAATACTGTAGCAGGAAAAATAAATGTTTTATAGAGAAAATGCAAAATCCAGCACGCGATTGAACAGTGTCACATCATACCATCATCAGCAAAACCCAGCACCAAGTGTTTAGCTCCGGCCCCTCACTGCCTCTCTGGGCGTTTTCGCATGGGGCGGCCCCGCCCGCTCTCGCAACGCAAAGGCACAGTTAGGTGCCCAGGCCTGCATTTCTGTTTTAGCAAAGTAGCCCCGAGGTAACGGAGGCAGACACAGGGATAATATACTGAGAAATCACTCTGGGTCTCCTAGGAAAATGAGCTAGTTTTACCGCCCAGGCATCCAAAGGGAGCCCTCTCTTAGTGAGTGTTTGGTGGGTTTAGGGGATGGAATAAAGGGGAGGACATAGAAAGGAAGATTTAAGTAACTTCCAGTGAACCTAGGTGAGAATCTCGGGTGGTCTGCACCTCGGAAAGCCAGCCAGTTAAGGAACTGACTCTGGGGGAAAGGTGCCTATGTCATCACTACACAGCCTGGGAATTTTTCTGGAGGCAGTGCTACGAAAGAAAGAGACTGAATGGCAGGATGGAAAGGAAGGAGTCAACATTTCCTGGGACTTGCCCTCTCCCCTCAGCTGATCGTCCCTCTCATCTTGAATCTTCCCCTCCTGCTCTCCCTTTTTGGCCTTCCCTCTCTCCCTGGGTGGGGGTGAGTGGGTCACAGAGAGGTGGGGGCTCTCCAGCTTCTAGGAATGAGGGTGGGGAAAGACTGATTTGATCACTGAAGGCTTCCAGTTAGCAAAAAGTTCATTTCTCTGTGGCTTTGGGATTGCAGTCTTACTTTGGGCTAAAATTTTGTGAAGCAGAGACCCTGAGGGGAAGGGACTAGAAGATGGGCTACACGGAGTGATCCACCTGAAGGCTGGAGCCAGAGGGAAAGGGATCTCTCCAGCGGCTCCAGACTTGCATCAAGGCGGTGAGCTTGCCATCTGCCTGATGGAAAGGACAGCTTTTGGTGTCTGTCGAACAACAGGATATGTACAACAAGGAGTAATTTCTGGGCAATTGGAGAGGGTCACAGTAGTGTTGGGGCAAGAGGCCAAACACTGATGGACTAACCATCCGTAGGACTACAATCATCCCCAGGAAGCATTCCGTCTCATAGGGAGGTGCTCACTGCTGCCAGGCCAGCGACAGGTTGACATGGGGCATGTGCAAAGAGGGCACTCTGTATAAGTGCTCTGTGTGTTATTGTCACCCAAGGTGAAAGCATTGGGGGGGGGCTCCCAGGGATTCAGGGAAGGTGTTTCAAAGTGTAGTGAACTGATTGGGGGAATGGCTGTGCAAAAATTTTTCTTGGAGACCCAGAATTTTCACTCGTACCACCTCTTTTAGTAGCCTTTGCAAAGCTTGGAGTAACAACTGAATAACTGAAGCATTTATCTAGGCTTATAAAACTTAAAAGCCAATCCTTGAATGAAATCATCTGGATGTTTCCATCAGAATTGCTTTATTTGGTCAAGGGAAATGACAACATTTTAGTTGCTCTGACAAAATGTTTTTTGCTTTCTCCCTTCTAAAGCATATCATCCAAAGCTAAAGATTTTGCAATTCTATGGCAGTGCAAACACTTGCCATGGTTTTTATCGAGGAAATGCTGGGTTTCTGGATGCTGGTAGTGACTGTACTGGAGGTTAGGTATTCATGGCATTTATTTCATTCAAATAATTATGTTTTAATTCCCATTTCTAAGGCTTTTTTGCTTAAAAAAATGGCAACAGTAAAGAGGTCACTACATAGAATTAATACAGCTGTTGGCAATTATCATTTAAAATGCTGAGAATCCACCCAAGAGCTATTTATTGCATGTTCTCTGCCTTGTGGCTCCATGCTTTGGCTTTCTTCTTGGCCATGGAGAACCAGACAGGTTCAATCGGCTCAACCGGCTTAACCGGCTTAACCAGCAGCTGTTGGAATGCAGCTGGGAGAGTTGAAGATTGTTTGGTTTCTTTCCCCATGGTAGGTACTTGTGGTATCTTCTGATCTTCAAATCCAACTGGAACCACAGCAAATAACACACAAGCAGTGAGAAACCCCAGAGATATTGGCGTATGTTGTTTATGGGATGCAATAAAATGTTTCCTCATCTCAGCTTTCCTCTAATCCCTCTGCTCTTAGAGATTTCCAACTCCTTTTCCCTTCATTGCCAGGCTTCTAAAAGTCAGTGCATGGGCAATGTCAAATGGGTAAAATCAACACAGCTATGGCCACAGGGATTTGGATAGGGGAAGGCCTGAGAGGTAATACCTACAGCTAGAACTGCCAATCTTTGGGCAGTTACTGCTGGATTGTCTTATACTTTTGAACTGAGACCAGAGGGGAAACATATTGTATCTGCTTATTTTCTAAAATTTCAAATAAAGCAATATTATTTTTGCTTTGCCAATCCATGATGTCATGTGAAATGAAATGACTGATAACTCAGTAGACGCACCCAGTAAAAGTTGATGCTAAACAATATTGTACCAACTACCTCGGCCAAGTTGACTATCACCCTATTCCCCAATTCCACTCCCTCCCCCTCATCCTGCTTTATGATTGATTTATTCAGTGGCTCAAACTCAACCAGTGGTTCTCAATCTTGGCTATGCATTAGAGCCACCTGGGGCTCTTTCAAAAATAATGTCTCTGACATTTCTTGAAGCAACTGAATTAGAATCTCTAGCGATGGAGCCAGGACCATAGACACTTTTTGAAAAGCTCTAGTTGCTTTTTAAATCACTGTGGTTCTAATGTACGTTGAGAGTTGAAAAACAACAGGAGTATAGTGCCTGTGAGGCCATTAATAGTTGTAAGCAGGTCAGCTGCTGCTATTTCATATAATGGGTTCCTGAACTCCTAGTCTAATTTCTTCCTGAGAGGGATTAAAGGAGAGGGAAAAGATGGTTCAATATAAATCCATCCTCCCCTCATCCCTGCTCTGGGTAAAAAAAAGTCCCTCTGGCCCACAACTCTTACTGGTAAGATCATATTCTATTGTATCTCAGCACACTATTTTTTCAGCCATCAACATTTCCCCACCTCTCACATCCTTGCTCAGAATACAGAGGGCCTGAAACAAGCTTTTTAAATAATTAAATACAATAATTAAATACCATTGGGCCTTTAGAGTGAATTATTTTCAACAGCTTCATTGGGGATGTAGAAGGTGAGAAAATACCGCTTTGCTATGAACTGGAAAGTGACTTGGTATTTTCCTCTTGCTTACCCAGGCACAAGAATGTTTTAGTGAGTGACCACAGTTTTGTGCCTAGACAGCTTTTTTGACGAAGTGAGAGACTAGAAAACCCTCTGAAAGTTACATACTAGACTTAAATTAGTCATAATCATTGGATTTTCCTTAAATGAGCTGATATCTGTAGCTAATGAAAGAGCCACGAGAGAATCGTGAAGCTGATTTGAGGGGTAAGAGACATGTATTACCTGAACCTGAAAGTGCAAAAGTTTCACAACATTCTGCCAGGGCTGTTCTTTTTTTGGGGGGGTCGGGGAGGGTGTCAGGGTGTGTGTTTTACCTGATTTGGTAGACTTAGGTAGCTTCATTTGTGCTGTCTTCCCCTGTCTACGGACATCAGAAGTTAAAATCATTTTTGGTTGGTTTTCATTTGCAGGGACAGTTCCCTTTAATACAAAAATGAAAACAGAAAGCTTGTAAGTCCTGACATAATAACAGCAAAATATTCAGAAGACCATAGGTTGCAAGCCCTGTCCTCGGTATTATGAGTTCAACAGTAACCAAAAGGAAAGAGATTAGATACAGATATAGTCAAGGAAAAAAATAGCACCGAGCCCCTTGGTTTGGAATTTAAGTTCACAAAACCTAAGCTAGCTCAAGTTTATCACTTTTCAGGCCTGAAAGAAAAAGTTGTCTAATAATACAAACAGCATAAGCAGGTTAACATGAGAGTTAACTTGAGAACAATCTTTTCCCTAGCACTTTACCAGCACTTAACAGCAAGCTAACAGAATGTGGTGGTTATAAACAAATCTCATCAGCTCATTGATGTGAGTTCCATGGGGTTTCTACTTTTCGAAACTTGCTGACATATGACTTGAAGCACTGCCTATATTAGAAAGTTATATAACTGTAGGTCTTTTCAAAGTTTTAATTTAGGCTTTTTCAAATTAACCTCTCCATAACTGGTCTAAATTCATGAGTTTAGGTACACTAGTGTATTTCCTCCTGACAAAAGCTTTAACCAAGGTGGACCTTATCCCTGTATGATCCTGCTCCCATGTAGATACTAATGATGAAAAAGAAAAGATCTTTAGGCTGGGTGTGGTGGCTCACGCCTGTAATCCTAGCACTCTGGGAGGACGAGGCAGGAGGATCGCTTGAGCTTAGGAGTTCGAGACCAGCCTGAGCAAGAGCGAGACCCCCGTCTCTACTAAATATAGAAAAATTAGTCGGGCACAGTGGCACGTGCCTATAGTCCCAGTTACTTGGGAGGCTGAGGCAGGAGGATCTCTTGAGCCCACGAGTTTGAGGTTGCTGTGAGCTAGGCTGACGCCACGGCACTCTAGCCAGGGAACAGAGAGACTCTGTCTCAAAAAAAAAAAAAAAATAGATCTTTAAAGCAAAGAATTAAACAGGTCCTCACAACGAATGGCGGTCCCTCAACAAATTTAGTAAGCACTTAAAAGTATAGGAACTTAGACATATCTCTTGATATGAAATGTGATATGTTTTCTTGAGTCAATTTTCTGCAGTTTTGATAAGAGGGAAGCAAGGTGTCATCACATCACCCCTGACCTACGTGTGGTACTATTAGCCTAGTTCACCACGGAACATTTTTTTTAACCTACAGGTAGGTGCCACTCCAAACCAAATCAATATGTAGAAATCCAAACATCAAACAGGGAAAGGGAAATTGTTATGTACTGAAATGGAAAGGTGCTCAGAAATGAAGTGTTAAATGAAAAAAATAGTATTTACGGTTTGATTCCATTTATAAAAATATATATTCATATGTATAGGCATAAAATATCTATAAGGATAGTCACTCAACTCTAACCCTGGTGGTTACCTTTGGGTTTTTAAAAATGACTTACTCCTTATTTCTCAACCAATATCATGGAAGCCTTCTCTAGGATATTTAGGGCAGGCTTTGATTTATATACTCTCCATATTCACTACTTTTTACAAACCCCTTAAGAGTATAAAGTGGGGCACGTTTGTATAAGTACAAAGAAAGTCTTTTCCCCCAGAAGAGTCCTCCTGCCTTGATAAATGCTCCCAAAGAGAGGGGAGCTGCATGTCTGGCAAAGTTCCCAATGGAAGCTTAATCAGTGACTCCAGCAACCTTTGGGAGTGTTTTCTGCACTGCCCCAGGTCCTACCCCATATTTAGGCTCCTTAGTCTCAGCCTCGGCTCCAGCTCTGCTCTTGGTTTCTGGCTCTTTCATAGGAACGTGGGCCTGGAAACTCCTCTGCTTCTGCATTGCCATGGTGATCCAAGCTGGCTCTGAGACGGCATCATCTGACAGTCGACCAGGACGCTTTTCTGAGAAGAGAAAGAAAGGAGTTAGAACTGAAGCAAGGTAGGCAGGGTCTTTTTGTTGTCGTTGTTGTATCTGACTATTGTTTAATTCCTACGGATAGTCAAAGGAAACATGCTCTCCAAACATACTTTGGGAGGAGGTAGGCAGGGTCCTGAGCCTGGCTGGGGCTTACCAATAATAATGTCCCAAATGGAATCCTTGTTAATTGCCAAATGAAAATAAACAGGTATCAAGTAGAGAAGGGCCCCCTTCTTTTGTGCCCCCCCACACACCTTGGCAAGGTAAGGGTTCCTTTGGTAGTTAAGAAGCTGTACTTAAAAGTTAGCATACTGTCCCCTTACTGGCCCTTTCCTTTCCTTGTCCATCCCTCTTCCCACCCCCAAATCAGGGTAGGACATGGTTGCTAGGTGGCTGGAAAAATTCCTAGGAGGTCAGCGGCTCAGTCCACTGATGTCATTCCTCTAACTCCAAGGAAAATCTTGGAGTATTTTTAACATCTCAGTGTCTCACGCAGGTGTGTGGCTACAGAGGTGTGGTTACAGGCGTATACAAGACTATGTGATGGTGAATGTGAAGGTCCAAAGGTTTAGGGAGAGATTAGTGCCCCAAAGATCACCTAGCTCTGGACTCTTAGATATTTCAGGTAAATGAAGAAACTTGAGAGTACAAACATTTACAGTAAATTAAGATTTCAGGCTGAGAGTCTGAACATAATGCTCTATTCATGAGTTGGCTTTAAAAATCCGCATGGTGTTGGGGAGGAGCACAATACATGTAAAAGTATTTTGAGAAAAGCATAAAATTCCATCCAAATGTAAGGTGTACACAGAGTGGGGGAAGAGGGAATGGGGAGATGGTCATGTGTCCATTATGGAATGTGGATGTGTGTCTAGAGGCAAAGACTCAAAATTAACTACTTCCAAATCTATTAACCTAGAATGGGGCACCATCTTGTCCCCAAATCCACAAGCCAGCCCTAGCAAAGCATCAACTTACTAGGCGAGGCTAGAACAAACTTTAAGGCCTATTTAAGGCTTCGTTTCCAGTTCTTCCTTCCACTTGGTACCTACTTGCCATCTGCAGAGATAAAAGTCTCACCTGAGGTCTTGTAAGCAGGTTTCTTCTTGGCCATGCCTTCAGATTTGGACCTGCTATTTTGCTTCTCTGCAAAGTCAGATTTTGCGGTGAGGTTCTCTGCAGTGTTCAGGAGCCCCTGGGAAGCACTTCTTCTGATTCGATGTTCCCTACCTGCAGAGGATGAAATTGGGCCCAAGGGCAAGGAAGGAAGCCAGGTAAAGTTATCTCGTTGCTCACTCTTATACTTCTGTGAGGAAGGGATTCTTTTCAGTCGAACTCCAAAAAGGTTTTCAACATCAGCCTCATTGGATAAATCTGAATGGCGGTTATTATTTCTACCATCACGCTCAAGAATTTCTTCCTTAGAGTAAGTGCCCCCAGAAATGGATGTTTGCCAGGCAGGATCAGTGGTGAACTTCCCAGGTTTGGTAGCAGGCATTAGGATGCTCTTAATGAGGTCTTCAGAACCTCGGCTGTGCTTCTTGGTTTTGTTTGGAGCAGCTGGGACTCTTGGTAGGGACCAGCTGCCAGCCTTGCTCTCAAAAATGGTTCCCTCAGCAGGAGCAGAACTTGAATAAATGTATTGCTGATATTCAGGGTCTCCAAAAGCCTGGAAAGGGTCACTGGGACGCAGGTGCTCCTCAGGACTGCTCCACTGTACAGGTATGTTCACTGAGCCCATTGGGAAAATCTGTGGCTGGAATTCAGCCAAGGCTTGGGAAGGGCGTCTGGAAGGTATCTGCTCTTCATATTTCTTGCCCTCTTCAGAAAAGGTGTTGGAAACTGAGCAGACTTCTTGCTGGTACTCAAGCTTCCCCAAGTCCTGGGAAAGCTGTCTCAGAGGTGGCTGCTTTTCAGAACTGCTCCACTTCACAGGAGCACTCTCTGAATATGAGAAACCTTCTTGTGGGTCTTCGGGCCTCCCTGCGGACTGTAAAGGGTGCCTCACAGGCAGCATCTTCACAGAAATGCCTCCCTCAGGGTCAGCGCTCTCCCAGTCTGAGAACACCTGGTGCTCGACTTTAGGCCTCGAGGAAGATTTAAAAGGGTGGTGAGGCAGAGGATCCGCGTAAATGCCTCCCTCAACAGCAGGGCTCTCTGAAAAGATTTGCTGCGCCATAAACTTCACGAATGACTGGGCAGGACGCCTGGGACACTGCGATTTCTTAGAAATGCCTTCTTCAATAGCAGTGTTTTCTAGACGTGAGGACATTTCCTGAATTCTAGACTTCACCGAGAACTGGGTAGGATATTCAGGAGGCAGTGGCCTCCCAGAAATGCCTGCCTCGACAGCGGCATTCTTAACACTTGAGGACGTTTGCTGGACTTTCTGTTTCACAGTGGACCAGGACTGATGTCTGGGAATTGGCAGCTCTGAAGAAATGCCCTTCTCAGTGGCAACATTCTCTGGACCTGCAGAGACTTGTTGCTTGAATTTAGGATTCACCCAAGGCTGGAAAGCGTATCTGGGAGGTATTGGGTCCACGGGACTGCTGCTCCTTCCTGCAGAAGTGCTCACTGAGCCTGAGGAGACTTCTTGCTCAAATACTGATCTCATCCGGGGCTGAGAATGATGTCTGGGAGGCCTCGACTCCATAGAAATGCTCCCCTCAGTGGCAGAGCTCTCTGGACCTGCAGAGATTTGTCGCTTGGATTTAGGGTTTACCCATGGCTGGAATGGGCGTCCGGGAGGCATGGGCTCCGCAGAACCGCTCCATTCTGCAGAAGCACTCACTGAACCTGCAGAGACTGGTTGCTTGACTACTGATCTCGCCAGGGGCTGAGCAGGCATTCTGGGAGGCAGTGGATCCATAGAAATGCCCCACTCAACAGCAGTGCTCTCCAAATCTGCAGAGACACGTTGCTCAAATGTAGGGATCACCCAAGGTTGGAAGGTGTGTCTGGGAGGCACTGGCTCCCCAGGACCACTCCATCCTGCAAAAGTGCTTGCTGAGTTTAGGGTAATCATCTGTGGCTGCAATTTAGGCCTCCCCAAAGGCTGGGAAGGGCATCCAGGAGGCAGCAGCTCCACAAAAATGCCTTCCTCGATGACAGTGCTTTCTGATATTTCCTGGACTTCAGGATTTGTGAAGCGCTGAGGAGAATATTTGGGGAGAAGAGGCTCCGCAGAAATGACTCTCTCAGCAACACCCTCTGAACCTAAGAACATGTTTTGTTGAACTTTAGGGTTCATCATGGGCTGGGAAAGAAGTTTAGGAGGCAGAGGCTTCATAGAAATACTCCCCTCAACAGCCGTGCTGTCTGGAAATGAGGAAACTTTCTGCTGCACTTTAGGGCTCACCCATGGCTGGAAAGGGTGTCTGGGAGGGCTCAGCACCACAGAACCGCTTCCCTCATCAGCAGCACTCTCTGCACCTTTGGAGACTTGCTCTTTGACCGTTGGTCTCACCAAGGGCTGGGAAGGACATTCAGGAGGCAGCAGCTCCATAGAAACAGCCCCTTCCATACTTGTAATTTCTGGACCTGAGGAGACATTTTGCTCAACTTTAGACCTCCTCAGGCACTTAGAAGACATTCTGGGAGGCAGCGGCTCCATATAAATGCCCCACTCCACAGCAGCGCTCTCTGGATCTGCAAAGACTTGTTGCTCACGTGTAGGGCTCACCCATGGCTGGAAAGGGCGTCTGAGAGGCACAGGCCCCACAGAACCGCTCCATTCTGCAACAGTGCTCACTAAGCTGGTGGAGTCTTGTTGCTGAATGGTAGGCCTCACAGTGGGCTGGGAAGGGCATCTGGGAGCCAGTTGCTGCACAGAACCATTCCCCTCTTTGGAAAGGTTCTTTGAAACTGAAGAGAGTTCTTGTTGCTCTTCAGGCTTCCCCAAGGCCTGGGCAGGGTGTTTGAGGGCCAGATCTTCCTCCGAGCTGCTCAAATCCTCAGCACTGTTGTACTTTTCAACATAACTATCGGATACTGTGGAGACTTCTTCATCTTCAGGCTCCTGTAAGGACTGGGAAGCGCATCTGGGGACCAGTTGCTCCTCAGAGCTGTTCAAGTCCACAACAAAACTTTTTGATTCTGATAAGACTTCTTGTTCATCTTCAAGCTTCTCCAAGGACTGGGAAGAGTGACTGTGAGCCAGATCCTCAGAACCACTCTCGTCCTTGGGAATACTATCTGAATCTGAGACTTCTTTAGCTTCAGGCCTCCCCAAAGACTGGGGAGAGTATCCAGGAGGCACCTGCTTTTCAAAATGGCTTACTCCCACAGCTAAACCTTCTGATTCTGGGAAGACTTCTTGTTCATCTTGAGGCTTCCACGAGGACCAGAAAGCATGTCCAGGAGCCAGCTGTTCTTCAGAACCACTCCCCTCCTCTGAAGCACTCTCTGAATCTGAGGGGACTTCTTTAGCTTTAGGCTTCCTCAAGGACCGGGCAAGGCTTCTGGGAGGTAGCCTCTGGGCAGAAATGCCTCCCTCAGCCGTGTTACTGGTAACATCCATCATACCCCAAATACTTGCTGCAAAGGCCTGGAGAGCATTTCTAGGAAGCTTTCTTTTGTGGGTAGTTGGGGCATTGTGGGCTGACTCCATTTTAGATTGGGCATTTTGTGAACAAAGACTGAAAGCTTCTTTCTCTTCCGACTGGATATGAGAAGGATCTGTGGACATCTGAGCCTCTGCTGCCACTGAGAGAATGGCCTCTTTTTGGGTTGTAGAAAGGCTTTTCACCATTGGTAAAAGAGAAGCTCTGGCTTCTGTCTTCGCAGCTCCAGAAGCCTGCTCTTCGTGGCATGGTAGTGGACCACTAGCCATGGACTCTTCCGCGTCTTCAGGTATGGGTTGTGCTGATGCTTTTCTGTCTTTGAAATCTATGCCGGCATTTCTCTTGCCTGTGTCACCTTTATCTGAAAGAAACTCCTGAGAAGTGGTGGTTTCTGCTTGTTCAGTTGTAGGCTGCTCCATGATTTGCTCCTCCAAGGGCAGGTGCCAGAAATTTCTGTCAGTCTTATCAGTAGGTGAGTACCCAGCTCTGTCGCCCAGGCCGTGCCCTGGACTGGATTGTTTAAAGCTTCTTCCTTTGGATTCACACTCACTCATCCTGGAAGTACTAGATCCTTTTCTTCTCCATCTTCTTCCATATGCTGCTGACATTGGATAGCCCAGACTTGCAGCAGCATCCGTGTTTAGAGCCTGATCTATTGTCTTCTTATCATAAATCTCAGTTTTGTTGCTCTGTTCCTGGCTTGAGAGACCTGTACCAAAGACAAATAAGGAAAAGAGAAAAGAGAAAAAGAGAAACACATGTGTGCTTTTGACTTCCTGTGCCCTGGCCCAATGGGTACCTATTTGCTACTGAATTCCCTAGTATGGAGAAGTGGCTGTTCAGAAGACAGAGAGTAACTTGGTCACTATTAGCCTTCTGCAGTTTGGACATTTTTAAATCAGAGGGAAATGCCAGTTTTTTTAACTGATTTCTGGATTGGCTCTTCACCATTTTATCAATAGTCTGGTCCACCATTGGCCGTGAGACATATCAAAAGGCAAAATTTGAACTCATAACAATGATTACCTTTGAGGAAACTGACTGGGGCAGAGGGAAGGGAAATTTTTACTTTCTATTTAGCTTTTCTATTTTCTACTTACTGTTTATCTGAACTGCTTGAAATTTCATATCGTATGCATGTATTGGTTTTATTTTATTTTATTTTTTAGAAAGGTATCAATAGGAGTTATCTGGGAGGTTGAGTTACGGCCCTCCTTTCTTCTAATTTCTCCTCTCTTGTATTAAAATAATCCTATGTAATATATATGCAAAGCAATTCTTGGAACACCTTAACAGGCCTCTGGTCAAGCACAAGGTAGCAGTTATATAGATTGCTCCTCTGCTTTCCAGTACTTTGTCTAAGAAACTTAATTTGATCCCCAGGTGAAAGGATTCCTTGCTGCCTTCCTTCCCTCACCATCTGCTGCATCCCTAGCTCCATCTAGTGGCTTCATATCACATCCAGCGCACATCTCACATCCAGCATACAGTGCTGGAAAAGCTGGTTGTGCTCCAAACCACTCCCATTATATGGAAAACCAACCAAAGTATTTGCCCCCAAAGGTATTGACTTGGTTCTAGCCTCTGTGTGTAAAAGAGACAACTATTAAAAAAATAAATCTGAAAACAACATAAAAGATTACTCATTTAGTCTTTCTTTCTATTTTTTTGCAGGACAGTTTTGTGGTTTTGTTAGTTTTCATGGGAAAATGTGTTTAGGAATATCCTGTCTTTGAACCCACATATGAAATCCTTTGTGGCAAAAACATGAATAACTGTTCAACTTAATTTGTGGACCTGGATTTTGTTTTATCAAATATTGCTTAAAATTAGCTTGCCTTCAGCTGGAGCCAACATTCACATATGTACACACACAAACACACAGAGAGATATTTTCACTCGGGTGGTATTCGTTGTTTGGGGATTTACAGATGTTGGCTGCCAAGGACATCTGTTTGCAGCTGCCCAAGCTCTCTCTGCCCATGGATATGGGAAATGGTCTCACTGTTAACATAAGACCTTTTCTCTCTATTGGAAGAGAAAGGCTACTTTAAAAAATGATTTTGGGGGCCAATTCTATTATTCTTGTCTGGTTCTGCTGTTGAAGAAGAATGCTAAAGGGCAAGGCACTGACTAGCACTCTCCTATCTGGGCTCATTGAGGAACTCAGCGTGTACATTAGCCTCAGAGAGGATTAAACACATTCACAAATGAAACACCTCTTTGGCTGGAAATTCATTTAGATAAAATAGGAATCCAGGTATGACCCTTTAACCTAAATCGCACCCAAGTGGCAACTGTACTAATTTGGCAGTTTAGATGGAGAAGCCTGGGCCACCTTCATCTGCATCTTAAATGGAAAGCTCTGAAGACGGAGGGTAGCAGTCCTGGCTAATTCTTGTGTATAGCTCCTGTCACGTAGCATTGTGCAATGAAGCCTGTCACACGTGTTTCTGGGTGAAAGTGAAGATGTGCCAACCTGCACTGTCTTTTTTCAGCTCCTTTTGATAGGCTTCTTTTGGTTTGGTTGTAATGTTTTCTTCTTCAGATTCCTCCTGCTTTGGTTTCACCTAAAACAGAGAAAGAAAGGGCTTGAATCTGGCTGACGTGCCCTCTGCCTATCCCTTCATGGTTGCAAAAGGAAAAAAAAAATTAGTAAAAAGGTCCTTGATGCTAGGTGCCTAACAATACCATTAAAGATGGAAGTTATTTCCAATGGCATCCATCATCGAGACATCCCTGGGAATCGTTCTACCTATTGGAAGTGGTTCATCCCCATTTGGGGTTTCTAATCTCTGAGTGACAGGCTGCAGGGATCTCTCTGAAACACCCCAGAAACTACTGAACCACACTGTAAGGCCAGAAATCTGAAAATAGGGTTGCTGGGCCTGATGGCAATCATGCCCTTGGCGACATTGGAATTCTCAGATTTGTTTCACCGGACCTGTGAGCCAAATTCAAATCCTGTCTGGCTTCTTTTCAAGGACTTTAGTGAAAGTATAAATTATATCTTTCCAGCTCAAAGGAAGAAAGAGGATTGGGGTTTTGCTGGGAGGAAAGAAAGGAAAAAATGAAGGGCTCAGCCCTTACAGTGAATGAGTTGAAATTGGTTTAGTATAAACAAGGTTTTTAGATAATTACAGTGCAACTCTGGAAATGTCAAAGGAACACTGCACTGAACAGTGTCTGGAATTTGCTTAGTGTAATCCCTTTATGGCACGCATGTAAAGAAACACATACAACTCTTTACACTCCCACTCAAAGTGCCTGTGCAAACAGACTCAGCTCAAAATCATTTGCTTTTGAGTAAATGAGGTCAGATAGACCTGGGTTCAAATCTCTTCATCATTTACTTGCCGTGTGACCTTGGGAAAGTTATTCTCTGAATCTCTGTGTCCACATCTATAAACGTGAGATGAGGAGAAGCCTCCTGTGGGACTTGCAGATCTAAGAAATTCCAGAGAAGGAAGAAAGTGGTAGAAGCCCCTGTGTCATAAATTATCTTGGATCTCTTTCTATTCACCCATGTGTCAGGGAGAGAGTGACAGGGAAGAAGTAGATGTCTCAGCCTTCTCAGAGGGTGCTGCCCAGGCCTTTTCTGAACTAGGCTATGCATAAGGGAGAAAGTCAACATTCCCCATCTCTTAGGCTTGTGGTGAGGTGTCCAGGGGATAATGCATGTATAAGGTTTGGCACCTAGTAATTGGTGACCCCTTCATTGACACCAAACTAAGGAGATCTTCTCGGGGCCACCAGAGGGCTTCCCGCAGCCTCCCTGCTTCTCCCACTATTCAACTTGTATTTTGCTCACTTTCCAAAGTGAAATTGAGATGTTCAAGCTAGAGGCAACATGGTGGAGTGAAAAAAGTACTGGGCTAGAAGTCAGAAGACTGGATTCTGGTCCTAGACCTGCCACCACCTGGGTGTTTGACTTTGGGGATGTACTTGAATTATTTGCGCTTTAACGTTCCTCCCCTGCAAAATGCTTGTACTACACAATCATTTAGTCTCTTACTGCTCTGATTTACAGCCTCTTACTTTTAGCCCAGAATCACTGGGGAATTGGGCGTTTTGTTTTTTAGATCGCTCCTTGATAACCTAAGGAATTGGGTGTTTGACCAAAGTGAACTCTCCAACTAACTGACACATCCTTTTAAACACCAGCATCTTTTAATTCTTAACTTTTAGTAAAAACCTTTTCCAAAAGCATTACTTCCCTATCTTCTTAAACGGGGATCAGGGAACATAATCCACCTTTTCTTGACTTAGACAAATAGTGAAGATGATCCATTACATTGGATTATGATATAGTGTGGCCCTGAGGGACCTATTGAGGTGGGCAAAGTTCTTGAGCCCCAATACTAAATGGCCCAGATTGTTCCTGTCATCTCTCTCTGCTATCAGATGTCACTTCTCTTTACTGTCGAGTCTCTGAGTGTGATCTGTGGCCATGTTTTATTATTTGTTCATTCATTTGTTTTGAGACAGGGTTTTGCTCTGTCGCCCAGGCTGGAGTACAGTGGCGTGATCATAGCTGACTGTAGACTCAAACTCCTGGGCTTAAGTAATCCTCCTGCCTCAGCCTCCTGAGTTGCTAGGACTACAGGTGCCCACCACCACACCCTGCTAATTTTTAAAATTTTTTGTAGAGATGGGGTCTCACTATGTTGCCCAGGCTGGTCTCAAACTCCTGGCCTCAAATGATCCTCCTGCCTCAGGCTCTCAGAGTGTTAGGATTACAGGCATCAGCTACCACACCTGACAGGCCATGTTTTTAACATAGTAGGTCTGCTTGCTAGAAAGTCATATGGCAGAACTTTGTGACATCTATTTGGAGATCTCTGGAGGGGCTAACAACTGAGTTTCGAATTTTTGGAGTTGCTGGAAGCCTGACCTCCAAATGAGTAGAAAAGTGCTGCAATTCGTCAACAATGGGTCTCATCTGATTAATAACGAAAAGAATCCTGATCTGGGGTGAGGGCTGAATATCCTTACAAAGAAGGCTGAGTGAATTCCCAGATGCTAAACCAATCGGCAGTTTCTGGAGGTTTAAGTGACTCACTGTTTCTGCTGTCTTTAGTCCCTTTTATATAAGTTCCAAATGGATAGGACACCCCACCCGATGGACGCAATCTTGCTCACCCTTCTGAGGGTTTCAAGCCCAGGATGGTGCCCTCAACGTTGCCATCTCCACTTAGGGTATGGGTCTCCTAAACCATACCATTTCCCTAGGAGCAATTTGCAAAGGCTGGAATTCATCTTTATTTTTTATATATAGGAGTTTATTCCTGGGTCTCTCAAGGACTTACAGGCACTTGAAGGTTCTTTTTCTTCTTTTGTTTCCGAGGATTTAAAGTCATCTTGTGTCGAGCAGCCGAAGAATCCAAACAGCCCTTGATGGTGGCTGGGGCGCTGAAACCAATGGGCAGCTGGGTGCTCCTGGGAGAGGCAAGCGTGGCAAATGCAGTCAAGGACTGGGAGTCATCAGGTTCGGATGTTGGCTCAGAGGTCTGCAGAGGGTAGGAGAAAATAAACAAGTCAACCCATATACGGCCACTGCTCTCAAACATTGGAAATTCTTCTGGCTGAAGAATTCCTAGATAAGAAATCCTTCCTGAACTACTGTCCCTTTTTCCTGCATTCCCAGTCAACAGGCTCATTCATCAGAGGCAAGCTCCACACTTTTACTGGTTCCCTTGCAGAAGAAAACAAGAAACAGGAAGAAGTTCATGTTACTCTACTGCTTAGAAAGCATTCAGGGGCATCCCACTGCCCTTGGGATGGGATCACAACCACTTAACGGAGTTTACATGGTCAGAGGAAGCCCTGCATGTCTCTTGTCCTACATCCCCTTCTTATTGACAGGAAGACATCTGGCTGAGGTGAGAGGCACAATCTGTGTCAGTGAAACCCACCAAGGGTCTGCGATTTCTACATGGAAGGGTTGGGTGGAGGGAAGAAAATCAGGTTGGAAGAGGGCCTGTGTGCAAGCTGCATTTTCATAGAGAGCACACCGCCTTTATTTATAATTACTGTTTCTGAGAGCAAGGCTGGTGGGAGGCCCCTCAGGAGCTGAGTGCTCCCACCTCCAGTGGGGTGGGGATGGAGCCTGGAACCTTGCCCTCCTTATGGCTGGCCTCCATCTCTCCAAACTATTTGGTTCTGGGATACCTAGCTGAATTCCTCTGCAGGAGCTTCAAAATAGTCTCCTCTGGGATTCTGGGCAGAACACTTTCCACATCTCAAAAAGCCATTCCCAGAGCTCCTTCCATTCCTAAGAAGCTTCAGAATTCTGTTAACAGAAGCCCCTTTGAAGACCAGGTGATAAGTTGCCTCTTTCCTGGATGCCAGTAGCAAATGACGTAATTTAGCAGGTAGACAGAATTTCCATTTGTGTTTACCCACTAAGTTCTTTTCAAACTAGCTTTGCAAAGTGCCAGGGACCCCTCTGGTACTTGCAGCTTTCACATTTCCCACCACTACTGTATGCTGAGCCAGTGATTGACATACAATGGAACTTTAGCTATTATCGTAGTTCCAAACACGTCCTTTTATGGCCTGTGATTCCAGTACCTGGGGACTTAGCACAGTGCTAATGGGTCAGGCTGATGATAAATCCAGCTCACCATTCTCAAAAAAGTCAGAAATGGAAAAGTCGGAAATGCTACAGTTGCCTGGTGTGGGGTCAATCATACAAAATTAGGAGTAGTCCCAAGCTTTCCTTAACTTCTTTATGCAACTGTCATCCATGAATTTATATACCACCTCTTCCTGATATTGTTTATTTGGCTTCTGTTATCTATTGCAATTGTAAATTTAACTTCAGTATATAGAGTAAAAGCTCTGGTTTTATTGTTCCAACCTTTTTTGTGCTTCAGGGCAGTCTCATAGCTCTGGTCTTTTGGGACTGGATGATGACATCTGTGCTCCCACCAACCTCACATGCTTTGTCTCCCCGTTGTCTCTGACCACATCACCTGCCATTTTTTGCTCCAGACACACTGCTGGTTTGCTGTTCTTCAAACACTCTAGGTATGATCTTGCCTCAGGGCCTTTGCACTTGCTGTTCCCTCTGCTGGCCATACTCTTCTTCCATGGCTATGTAACTAGCTCCCTCACTTCCTTCAGGTCTTGATTCAAAACCCACCTTTCTCAGCGATGCCTTCCATGGCCAACCTATTTAAAATGTTTAGCTCTGACACTTCATAATCCCCTTCCCTGCATTGCTTTTCTCCTGGTCACTTTTATCAGTATCTAACATACTGTATGTTTTCCTTATTTATCTTGTTTATTGTCCATATCCCCCACTACAATATAAACGCCACGAAGATGGGTTTTCATCTGTTCTATTTACTACTATATCCCCAGCGCCTTAGACTGTGTTTGGTACACAGTAGTTGCTCAATAAATGTTTTTGAACTGTTGAATTAATTATGTTAAAAGCTTCCACCAGATGTTGCCTTTCTGAGGGGTCATCAGAACAAGCCCCTCTAGTAACTGTATCATTTTAGTTATTCCTTCTGAGCCTTTGCTAGCTCCAGCCAAAGGTAGAATGAGAAAGATGAGGAGGTCTGTGGATCTGGAAACCCTAAAAGGAACCACGCAATCTGCTTTGCATGAAAGCTAACTTATGACGCCTACACAGCAAGGAAATATGCATTTAATAAATAAACATTTTCAATTCAGCTGGCACCCCAAATCTTGTGGTACAAACACTACAGACAATAGCATTGTTTACTTTAGTGAAACTCATTGTATAGTATAATAGAAAAATCAGGCTCAGCAAAAATCTGGCAATTTCTAGATCAGGTATGTGCAGGAGAGGTCTTATCTGTTCCCAATCCCAGCCTAAGCCATGAGTCCATCGGACTTAATAGTGGCTGCCAGTCTCCCTGCATTAGTTTGACCCTCACTAAGGAATCTCTAGACAACAATCTAAACACAAACCCATAGCTATCCTCAAACCTGGGCTAAAAATTAGAGAGCAAAGTCATCAAGCGTTATCCCCACCTGACTATGGAGCTCAAGCTTTGACGTGTGATTTAAAACAGCCCCAAGAGGATCTCTGTTCCTGTGTTTAAAGTATATTGTGTGGGTATAGAGTACATGTGTATTTTATGACTTTCCTTAAACTTATCAGTGAATTAAATAAACTATTTATCCGCTCTCTGGAACTCCGGGCACTGTTTCTCAATGTATTGTCTGGGAACCTCCAGCATCAAAATCACCTGGAATGACTGTTGAAAAAGCGCATTTTGGGAACATATCACAACCTAGCAAATAGGAATATCAGGAGAAGGGCCTTAGAATAGGCCTAACAGGGTCTCCAAGTGGGCCATAAAGAGAAAGAGTCCTATTTTCAAACAGTGCAGCAAGTTTCTAAATAATCCCATCAATTGCCTTAGAAGAGGAGCCAGAAATACATAGATTCCCTCTGGTACGTGGAGCTCCCTCTTAGGCCCTATTCTTTCTCTTGGCCCTATTGGTTAGGAGCAACTTAGAAAAGTTACCACAGAGCCAACCACAGGATTTTATGGGTTACCCAGAAAAAGCAAATCAAATCCCTTCCTGGCAAGATTCTGAAAGAAAAGTGAGTGGAGGAAATGGGACTCCTTTCTCTACATCTGCTTCCTCACCCCCTCTAACCCCACTGCTCCTTCCCTGCACTCTGAGAGCCAACATGCCCTCTCTGAACCCAGTGTGCATATTATTAAGGAAGCTGAGATGTTTTCATTTCTTCTCCTATGTTTTAGAGGGAGTTTAGCACAGACAGTTTCTGATTAACACCTGGAGTTAAATGGGCTCCTTTTGCCTCAACATCTGGAAGATGTGCCAGGCCTGGTACCTACTAACCTAGAATCTTCCTGGGGAAGGACCCTGGTTTGGGCCTTGGGCCAGGAAAGGGATCCTTTAGCATTGGTTAGTAGGGGGCTAGACACGCCTTTGCTGTTAGCAGGGTTAAGAGCTGCTCTTTGGAAAATTAAAATACATTTTAGCTTCTTTTTTTCTTTTCCTCCTCTCAAGTTTCTAGATCTAGTGCAAAGTAGTTCAGTCAAAAATGCACCTTTTGATCACCTTTTTGATGATTTCTTTTTCCGTTGTTTGATGCTAGGGTTTCCCACTTTTGAGTAGGAACAGAGCAGTTTGGCTGCTGCCTTAGAGCAAAGGAAAGCCCTGATTGTTACGTCTTAAATAAGAGTAGTACCTGGTGGCTGTTTAGGCCCAGGTTTCATCAAGCATTTGGCCTGGAAAGCTGTCACCCTGGGGAAAAAATACATTCTGAAAGTGTCTGGGAGGCTTTGACACTGAGGTGCTAGGGAGTTGGGCTCTGTGTGAACCATTCAGTCAAAAACTAGAAAGGCATGCAGTCTTTGGAATGTCTCCAGAAGAAGAAGCAACTCTTGGTGGGAAAAGGGGTTCTTGGTGGGAGACTTCTGTACCAAGAGGTACTGGCACAGGGTGTGAGACCCAATAACGGCTGTTAGGATTTTAATTCCCCGGGTGTGCCAAAGTGGCTTTTGTGCCCATTCCTGAGAGTTCCTGCACAGCTGCTGCTTCACTCAGAATCCTTGTTACACAAAAACTGCTGCAGCCAGCATTTTTGCCAATTTGAAAGTTCTAGGAGATAGAATTTCAGATATTCCCTACAGCCCCTCCCCCCAATCATAGTCTCTTCAATTTCTTAACTAGCAGAGAGAATATGAACATGGAATTTGGAATTAAATAGGCCTGAATTTGAGGTCCTAGTCATGCCATTTATTGGCTATTCGACCTTGAACAAATTCACTAACGTCTTCGAGCCTCAGTTTTCATGTCTGTAAAATGAGGATAATATTAGTACATACTTTGGTTTATTGTTGTAAAGATTAAATAAAACGATACTAAAGTTCTTAGTTAGCACTATGCCTTTCACATATGAAACTCTCAATAAATGTTAGCTGCTGTCGCTATTGCTGGGCATCGGTTGGGCAAAGTTACAGAACTGCTAGGAGCCACATGCTCCAGTGAAAAGTGCTACGGATTTGGTCAAGAGTCCTGAGATCAAGTCCCAGCTCTATCTTTGATTGCCCCTGTGGTCATGGCAAAGTCACTTCGTCTCTCTGAACCTCAGGTTTTTTCATCTAAATTGGGAGTAACAGTATCTTTCCTATCTACCTTACAGAGTCATTGAGAGAATCAAATGCACCTATATATGCAAAATCACTTTGTAAGTTGCAAATATCTGTGCAACAATGGGGAGGGGGGCATTATGCCCTCCTTTGACAGAGGATTTATTTTTATTTGTTTTTTAGAGACAAGGTCTCACTCTGTCACCCAGGCTGGTGTGACACGATCATAGCTCACTACAGCCTTGAACTCCTGGGCTCAAGTGATCCTACTGCCTCAGAATCCCAAGTAGCTGGGACTCCAGGCATGCCTGTACAGGCAGATGATTTAAAAAAAAAAAAAAAAGATTGCTCTGGGCTTCAGAGACTTATTTGTGAAACTGTAATGGTGAATTATGGAGTAA